GTAGGGTGGGGGGGTTGGAAAATGACTTGGCTACCTGGTGGTGGCTTTTGTTGAGGATGGGAGGTTATGGGTTGAGGAGGGGAAAAAGGGGAAGAGGCATGTGTGATTGTTTGTTGAATGGGTTTTGGATTTGGTTACTTGGCGTTTTAACTGTGTTTTGTTGTGCACGTATTCGCAAGTTTTCGTCCCATTCCAGGAACAACAATAACAACCGTCGTTGTTACTCATCATTAGTACGGAGGTGGTTTAGGGATGATCTTCCGGTTGGGAGTTGGAATTTCGGTTATCTGATTATTACCTAGGATGGTGGAGTCGTGTGCACAGACCAGAACTGCACACAATCCTGGCACAGAATCTGTGAAGGGAGGCTCAGGCGATTGAGCACAGCTGGATTCACCAGGTCTTTGCGTTATGTTGCTGTGGGGAGGATTTGAACGGGAGAGTTATCGTCGGGAGGGTTCTCGGTTTTTTTGGAAGGCGAATGTGATTTACAACTTTAGAGTGCGGAAGAAGTGGGGGAAGTCCCTAAACCCTGTATACAAATTAACACATACCGAGGAACTAATTCCAAAAAAGGGAAGATGGTTTTTATGCGGGATGTCCGTACACTTATTCCATGCGGCTTCTCTCGGGCTCGTAAGAGCCTTCGAACACTGGAGACAGCTACTGAAGACGTGTACGTGTGTGCGGGGTGATGTGTTTTTTTCGCGGGATGTCAGGTCTGGTGTGCTGGTGGGCCGGGCCCCCTCCCGCTCTTCACTCCCTGCTTCCCCGCATCCAAAGACACACGTACATACATACATGCATGCATGCATTCAGACATACATACGCACGCACGCACGCACGCAGGCGTATCTAACCTGGTGCAGAAGGGCTACAAGAAGATCTCCCCCTTCTTCATTCCGTACGCCATCACCAACATGGGCGGTGCCCTCCTGGCCATTGACCAGGTATGTTTGTATGATTGTATGTTTGTATGTATCAAATGGGTTTTTCTCGGGGTAATGCAAGTCTAGTCTTGTGGGTTCCTGTGCGCGGGAGGGCGGGCGGGATGTAAGGGGTTTGAAGTGCAATCTTAACCACTACTACCAGTTTTTAGCTCGTAGTTCATCTTGCTTATTTACCAACCGAAATAAACGACCTTAACGATTGACCAACCAATCAACAAACTTGTATGAAATGCTAGGGCTTCATGGGCCCCAACTACTCCATCTCAACCGCCTGCGCAACCGCCAACTACGCGTTCGTTGCGGCCGCCAACCACATTCGTAACGGCGACGCTGACGTCATGGTGGCGGGCGGCTCCGAGGCGCCCATCATCCCCGTGGGGCTGGGCGGCTTCGTGGCCTGCCGGGCGCTGTCCACTCGCAACGATGAGCCCGTCAGGGCGTCCAGGTGAGCTGGTGTGTGTTTGTGTGTGTGTGTGTGTGTGTGGCCTTGGGGGGTTGGGGGAGCTTTGGGGGGGAAGGGTTGTCTGTGTGTTGTGTGGGGGGGGAGATTGGGGAGGTCGTGTGCGTGTGTGTTTCGTTGGATGACGTGGCCCGGTGGGAGTTGGAGACCCGGCGGGAATGGGGTTGGAGACCCGGCGAGTGTTCTTAGTGTCGTACTGAGTGTCGTGTGTGTATGTATGTGCATACGATTGCGGGGTTGGGGGATGGCAATGGAATTGTTTGTCTCCTCCTTTGGCCCCCCTTTCCCCCCATCGGTCTTTTACGGCTTGGGTCTCCGCTCTTATTTTAGTCTTGGCGGCTAGGTAGGTAGTTTTCCGCGGTCGTCATCACTCTACATCGTTCGGAGGACGGCTTCTTCACAACCGCCAACTGGTCGGTTCTGCTTTCTTCACATCCGCCGCAGCAGTCTTTCCTTTGCATCAGCTTCACTCGCTCGTTCCCCCCATCCGTCCGCTTATCTCGCCCTCTGGGAACCTGTACATACATACATACATACATACATACATACATACATACATACATACATACATACACATATATAGCCACATGCATTGTTCGTGTGCGCAGGCCTTGGGATTGCGACCGCGACGGGTTCGTTATGGGTGAGGGTGCGGGTGTGCTGGTGATGGAGTCCCTGGAGCACGCCACGAAGCGCGGCGCCAAGATCTACGCCGAGTACCTTGGCGGCGCCGTCACCTGCGACGCGCACCACATGACCGACCCGCGGTCTGACGGGCTGGGCGTGTCGACCTGCATCGAGCTGGCACTGAAGGACGCCCGGATCGAGCGGGAGCAGGTCAACTACATCAACGCCCACGCCACCAGGCATGTAGCCACCAGGCGGTCTTGGAGATCGCCACGATGTTGAGGCTTTCGTAACCCGTTCGTGGGGAGAACTGCTGGATTGCTTTGCTTTTTGTGACATCAGAGTTTCGACATCAGGGTTTAGACATCAAAAGAAAACAATCTTGTAGTTTCATTACCCCTCGCGCGCTCTTCCCCCCCCTCCGCCGCCGCGCAACCCCACCTTCAACCACTAACTACACTGCCACGCTCACACAGCAACTATCCACCCGCACCCTAATCCCATCCCCTACCCAACCCCACCACCAAACCCCTACCCAACCCCATCCCCTAACCACCCCCCACCTCACTCCACCCCGTCACACAGCACGCTGGTGGGTGACATTGCGGAGGTGAAGGCCATCAAGAAGGTCTTCCACGACACCAAACACCTCAAGATGAACGGGACCAAGTCCATGATCGGCCACTGTCTGGGGGCGGCCGCCGGTGTGGAGGCCATCGCTACCCTCAAGGTGGGAGGAGGGGTGCGGACGGATAGTGGGAGGGGTGGGGTGGGGGTTCAGGAGGGGTGAGAGGGAATGGGAGTTGCTCCCCGTGGTGTGTGTTTTTCAGGGAGGGTTAGGGGGGAGGGAGGGGGTAACAGTGTTTCGAGGATTCAGCGGTGCAGCACGTACATCAAATACAAATTGCGTGGGCTGGGCGGGGTTTTTTGCACTAGTTTGGGGTGTGGAATTATTTGGGGCGTTGCCAGTGTGTGTGTGCGTGCGTGTGTGTGCGTGCCTGTTAGTTGCTGTGGCGAGTGGGGTAATAGCGGGTGGTGGAATCCGGGGATTGAGGACGCCCGAGACGACCGCGGGGCTCAGGGAGTCTGCGGGGGCGTAGCTTGACGTCCACTTGCTTGGCGGTGGATAGCGGTCCATAGCGGTGGTTTTTCTTTGGGGTTTTTAAAGGTCAGTCTCCCGCTTCCGGAGGTCTACTGCTTCCATGGAAAGTGGTGATGCGTCCTCGAGGCGAAGTACTACACGTTCAACGGCGCCGTGCTGGTCAATTCTCGTGTGCCGTTTTTTCGGGATGTAGCACTCCGACAAAAAAAATTGTGTACTGTCTGTGTTTGTGTTCCCTATCTTGCCGCGAGGTCAGGCGATCGAGACCGGCTGGGTGCACCCGACTCTGAACCAGCACAACCTGATTGAGGAGGTGGTGGGCATTGACACCGTGCCCAACGAGAAGAAGCAGCACAACGTAAGAGGGGGGCGCTCTCTGCCCGCACGCGTGTGTGTGACACTGTTATGTATGTATGTGCGCATTTGGAGGGACTTGGTCCGATCCAGCAAATCTGTGTGTATCTGTGTGTTTGCGCAGACGGTGACGTGGCTCGGGGAAGCGTGAAGGAAAGGGGTGTGCCGGGAGTGTACGACATATCGTGCCGGGTTTCGTGTGCACAGGCTCCGTTGGGGCGGACACACCCTCTCAGACAGCGGAAAGAGGCCGGCAAGAAATGGTAGCCTGTTTAGGACTGTGTGGGTCCTGAGCTGGCTGCTATCTTTCAATAATCCCCTCCCCCACGCCAGTTATTACCTCTCCCCCGCCTCCACCGGCCTTCTCCCCCCCCCTTACACTGTTAACCAAACGTTTTGAAGATTCTCTAAAGCTATCGTTTTTACCCTCTTCCAATGCTGCCGTCTGTGTCTACCTTCACTTCTACATCACCGCTCGCCGTCGCCATCATCATCATCATCATCGTGATTATGTTTTTCCTCATCAACATCGCTCATCAACATCACAACAACACCACAGATCACTGCCGCCATCTCCAACTCGTTCGGCTTCGGTGGCCACAACTCCGTCGTCGTGTTCGCGCCCTTCCGCGAGTGAAGATGAAGATGAAGAAGAAGATTTTGTGAAGATGAAGAATGAAAAATGAAGAGAGGACAGGACGGAGGCGCAAAAAGGCAGAGGGCACACTGGGCATTCGGTAGTCTGTGGGAGTATGCGGTTATGAGAGTGGTGACGCTGGTGGCGGACGGGGTGTGTGTGCGCAACAAGGTGATGTGATGCGCACACTGGATTTGCGAGTGTGCTCAGACACAACGCATAGCGCAGTGAGCCGAGTCATCGAGGACTTTCTAGCTGTCTGGCCTTCTACCCCACCACCACTGATCTCGAGGACTGATCCTATTGTGCATTAGGGTCAGGATTGCCTGTGTCTACCGTCCTCTCTTCTTCGAGGGGTATGTGGAGGGAAAAGAACGAAACGGGGAATTGGATCATCCGCGCCCTCGAGCGGCATGTCGTGTGTAGTTGGTGGTGTGCGCACGTGCTTGATCTGTTTGTTTGCGCCGTCGCGTGTTAGTGACGGCGAAAAGCGGTTGGGCCGCCGAGCCTGGGGTCGGTGTTTCTCTACCCGGGCTTCTCCCGGGGGGGAGGATTATGAGGTGGTGTGCGTGGTGGGCAGACGGACTGACTTACAGACAGACTGAGGGAGAATGCTCGGTCCAAAAGGTGTACGTGCGTATCGCGCGGCTCTGTGTTGGCAGTCGGACCGAGGGAAAGTTGACGGGGAATGTTGCTGGAGGGCATCTAATTCCTCTTGTCAGCTCGTTTTTTGCCTGTTGCTCTGTTACTCCAGCGCCCAAATCGTACGCATCTTGCTCGCTGCGTGGCAACAGCTCGGGTGTAGCACTGAGCCGCTGGGGAACGTTTCGTACATCCGTACATTCACCTAAGAGTAGGATGAGCGATACTTAACGAGCGTGCTAAAAAGAGTGTAATGATTCAATTCTGGGAATGCGATGGGGCAGGAAAAGCGCAGGGCTTCTCTGCGTGTGTGTGTATCTTGTAAGCTCCGATGCAACTACCTGCCCTCGCTCTACAAACTCAGGCGCACCAATATACATACACACTTCCCTGAGAGCTGCTGAACGCTTGAAACGATTAAAGCTGTAAAGGTTACACACGGAGTATATTTCGTTTCGGAGTAATTTCATCTTGCTCAGAAAGACCGCGTCGTGGTGTAGAAAGTTCCTCCACAGAAGAAAAGGCGCACTCAAGCCAACACCGCCGCCACCGCTCCCGAACAGCAGCCGGCAACACTCCTGCCCCCCGCCACCCCCAATGCCACCGCCAACCTGCAATGGAAGCGCACCAAGTCCACCAATAAGATCGATGCTGTTGGTGTCCCCCCGGGGTTTGAGCGGCCTCATAATCCCAACGAGGAGATTGTTTGGCTGACTGAAAATGTGGTGATTTCAAGAGCTGGGCCTATGTACTTCAGGGCTCGACGACGGTCATCTGCTTTTTTTGCGACACACATAAGGAGAGTAACGCCACCATTTCCCGCACGAACTGGGATCGCTCAGCTTACACCCGGCACGAGGCCTCTCACTCCCACAAAGTGGCTGTAGACCAGTACACGCAGGATCAGCAGCAACAGCAAACTGACAAGCACCTGGCCATGACCGAGGTTGCCGACAATCCCTTGTTGGCTCTGTTTTGTGGCGCATACATGGTCCTGTACCAAGCCATGCCTTTCACTCACTTCCCAACGATCTGTGAATACATGGACTGGCTTAAAGTACCAAACATCACCGGCTTAAGCTCAACGAGGGTCTGTTTGTGAAGCTGAGTATGTCGGGGTCCTTGAAGAAGGAGGATGCAATGTTGAAGGGGGCAATGGCCAAGTACAAGTCCTCCACTAGGATGCACCTCTACACGCACATCGCCGATAAGGTCGAGAATATCCTTCACGACCCGCGCTTCAACCGCATGCGGTCGGCTTTGTGAGGATGGATAGCTCGGGGGGCGACTTCATGGCGCAAGAACTTGCTTGGCAACGAACCCTTGTCCCCCCCTGTAAAACGATCGGCCTGCAATGTGTACGGAACGTGGAGCCCTGAAATGCTGTCTCTTTTGGCGCCGGAACGCGCCAAAATGTTTTTTTTAGGTTTATTGACCGAAATTATGCCCTCCCGCAGCCGTAGAAACCGATTTGCCGACCTCTGGTAGAAACTAATATAACTGCCGTACTGCCAATATATTGGTGCTACGTGAATTGGTGGGAGGCCACCAATCTTGTGCTGGTGGAAAGCAGCTCTTAAGCATAATGGAAAAATTGCTTATTCACCAAATTGTGTAGCACTCATACGCTGCACGTCGTCAACACGTGGCAAATCAAGAAGCCAGTCCGCTACCTCGCGAGGGGTTCATAAGGCACGTGTTGCACCTAAGTCTGCATCACAACTGCATAAACAGGTCCTGGTCCTCACCAAAATTGCAAGGTACCACAAAAATCCCAGGTACCATTTCCATGCCCTTGCAAGAAACTGAAGCACCAATACATCGTGGCAGTACGGTAATTGGCTTTTTCTGTGATTCGTACAAGCGCAGACATCGTTGGCCTGGCAAATAAAATACATCACGGGCTAAAAATTAAAAAATCTTGATCAAACCATGAGATATTTTGGCCCCTTTTGCACCTTTAGGTCCTCCTACCTCTCTCCCCAAACGACACCCGTCTAATAGCAATGAAAACGCTCACACTCACACTCACACTCACGCTCACACTCACACTCACGCGCACGCGCACGCCTGAGGCGGTGTCGGAACCGGCGCCACCGCCGTCCCACTCTCCCACCCCCGTCCCGGGCCCTCCTAGACCTGCCTCAGCTGCCTCACGTAACCATCCAGAGCCTCCCCAAACGCCCGCCGAGAGAACTTCCCCTCCACATGCGCCCGCGCGCGGCGGCCCATCCCGACTGCCGTCTCCGCGTCCATCAGTTCAGCCATAGCGGACGCGAAGGCAGCGGCCGCTGGCGCGCACAGAAACCCCACAGCCCCATGGGTCACGCTCTCCGTGGGGCCGCCGCTGTCGCACGCCACCACAGGCCGACCCGCCGCCATGGCCTCCAGCGGCACAATCCCAAAGTGCTCATGCTGTGGAGTGTACAGTACGGCACGGCAGGCGGCCAGCAATAGCGTCCTCTGCCTGCGGTGGACACACGTGATCACAGTTCGCTGTGGGTGTAGATAGGGGCTCGGGTACGTTAGGCGTGCCGCGTGTGGGTTGCTCAGGTCGGGTTTCACTCTGTCGGGTGTGGTTTGTTGATCTGAGAGGCGCCCGAGAGGGCAGGAACTGGACTAATGATGGAACACGAGTAGGTTTCACCGAAGCAAGTGGTCCAGCAACATCAGCAGCAGCAGCAAAAGCACAGCAGCAGCAACAGCAACTCTGCAAAAACATCATTGCATTCCTTCGCTTATCCCACCTGTCCGTGAAGGATGGCATGAACCGCACCACCTCCAACAAACCCATTTGCCGGGCGGCTTCTCGAAGCTCTTTTAAGTACTCCACGTTCTCAGGAAGCCGGGGATCGTACCCGCCCGCCACCACTAGCCGTGCTCGCGGCGGCGGCGCCGCCGCTGAGCCTTCAGTAGCTGAAGGTACTGTCGCCATCGTCGACGTACTCTTCGTTCGACTCGTCCCCTGCCGTTCCCGCAGCTCGCATAAGGCCTCCAACGCGAGCCTGATGCCCTTCTTTCGCTCAAACCTATTTAAATAAATTGATGTGGAGACAGAGCACAGCACCAGTGCTCAAATTACGGGACCCCGAAGGCCCGTAGTTGGCAGCTCGTAGGGTTTCATGGTTCTGTTCTATTGTGTTGTCCGGGTGGTGCTCCCAACCTTTGAATGCCCGGGGTTTTGCATCCCTTTCCGTCTTTTCCTGACCCACCGGTTTATTGATAGGAACGTAGTGCCGCCGTCTATAAATTGCGCCAGTTCTGGTTCCAGCTCGCTGCGCCACTTTGCCTCAGCGTCCCGCAGATCGGACTCTGCAGGAATAGGGACGGCCGGGTACAGCACGCCGGGCTGCATGGCGCGCGCAGCGAGCCGGCGAAACGTCTGTGCAAACACGCTGCGTGTGTACTTGCTGTTGACCAAGATGAGGTCCGCCGCGCCGGTCGTAGCCTCCTCCAAGTAGTCCAACGGAGCACGGTAAAGCTTTTTAAGGAAAGATTCGCGTTTTGTAAGGAGTAGGTCTGGGAAGTGGCAATAGAAGAGCACTTTGGTGCTCGGCATGAGCAGCTTGACGATCGGGACGACAACCGCGACCTGATCGGCAATGACCACGTCGTATGCAGCTTTCGGTCCAGGTTTGTAGCAACGCCAGGCGATGTGCAGGGCGACGAGGACGCAGCGCACGTACGCGCACAGCGCGAGCATGCGACCATAGACATGGCGGGGAAACCAACTCCCGGCGGTGAACACGGCAAAGCCGCCCGTTTTGGTCTCCTCGAAGCATCGTTTCGGGTCATAATAGGCTGTATACATGTCGACATGATTTCCGCAGCGGACTAGCTCCGTCGCTGCATCAACGACGAGTCGTTCCGCACCCCCGATGCCTAGATCAGGGTGGATAAAGGCAACGCGGAGGCCATTTTTTGCTTTGGGAGCCATGATCATACCCGGGGCCAATTTCGTCACGGTTCAATACGATATATGAAAGGTTCCTACTTTTGTATCCATGACGCATTACGTTTTCAAAAGGCGGATTATTAGGTTGGTAGCATTGCTATAAAAGATAAAGCCCTTGTCGAAGCCACAAATGGAAAACTACCCTGGTTTCGGAGTCCCGCGATGAAAGCCATGGAACTTGAAGGTCGACACTCTCTTCTAAAGTATGTTACTCATTTCTTAGGTTGATAAAGCGACATTTCTTTTTTATTGTCTGCTATCGTTGCGGGCACCATTGTGCACTTCTGGCGCAAAAGGATGGCATCAAGCCTGACAACAGGACCTGGAATGCGAGGGACGAACGCATGCCGACGACGAAAACGCCCAGCCGACCCAGCAGCCTGCCCTTACGTAGGAGCCTTTGGTGTGCCATCTGGACGCCCTCAACCACGGCGCGCTGCTAGCACGATGCCACCACCGCGCGCCGCGGTCACCCACAGCGCAGCGCAGCTGCTACTCTCGGCGTTCGTTTCCCCCGTCTGTTTCAACCAGGTAGGGGTGATCTGGTTCGGCTCTGGCGAGGGAGGGCAGCAGGTCCTCTACGCCCTCAGTGCTGCCTGCGGGAGCGCCGTGTCACCATTTAACCTTCGTGTTTCTGTAACTGAAGTGCGACTGCGCCCTGTCTGTCTCTGTGTCCCTGTGTGTTGGAATTGTGTTAAGGTTGGGGATAGATGTACACACACGCACAGGTTTGTCTCACACATACAACCCGGCCCCAGCCCCAGGTACGGCCCCGGGTACGGCCCCGGCCGGGGCCTGCACACATTAACTAATGTGTAGCCTATTTAATAATATATCCCGGGGGGGTTCAACATTCTCCCCGGCGTGTCAAGTCCACCTTTCCACAGCAAACCTGACTACAAAGTTGATCTCGGTTGTAAACAGTTCCCGGTAATACCTTTAAACTGCCACCTTCGCATGTCAATAGCATTGTGGCCCCCCCCCCGTCAACCCTGCCGGCCCTGGTGGCCCTGTTGTTGGCCAATTGTAATAATTTAAAAATGTTGCTTGCTTCATACCTTCCAAACTTCTTCCCTCCACACCACCCGGGGGCCCTATGCCCGGTGGCGTCCAGGTCTGCCAGCAGGACGCCGACCGCGCCTTCCTGTTGGCAGTGGCGGTGCCGCTGCTGGCGGCGGCAGCGGTGGTGTCGTACTTGATGCGCTCCCCGCCGGCGGAACTTACGGACAGCGGCCGCGTGTTTGAGGACCCCAGTACGGGGACGCGCTTCGAGGCACCTGAGGGTGTGGTTCCGGAGCGAGATAAGAATGTGGGCCATTGGGTTATTGGTTTCGGTGGGATCCTGGTCCTTTTGTGGGCTTTTCTTAACATGCTCCTCGCTCTGTCTGTCTGTCTGTCTGTCTGCCTTTCCCTTCCCCAGTCTGTCTGTCTGTCTATCTTCCCGATTCCTCGCTTTGTCATGTGTTCCCCTTCCTCGCTCTGCGCCTCTACCTGCTTGCCTGTCCCCCTCTCCTCCCCTCCCCACACTCTTGCCCTGGGGCAGCAGCTTCACTCGTGTGTGGTTCGTCTGCCCCCCTCTCCTCCCTCCTGGGTCGATGTGACAGCACATGACACCGCTTAGGACTCACTGGGGCCAGTTTCGGACTTTTCGGACGCCTTCCGGCAGTCAGGCAGCTCATTTCTGTGTTTCTTGCATCACATGATTTCCCCTTCCTCGGTGATCTCTCTCCCCCCCCACCCCGCGCCATTGAAAGGGCGAGTTGGCTTTCCGCCCCATCAGCTACACCCCCTGGCCGGTGGATGAGGGAGTGGAGGGGGAGCGGGTGCGCCTCGCGGTGGGGCCCGTGGGTTCCAGACAGCTCAGGTGGAGTCCAGGGAGGGGGGAGGGAGGGAGGGAGGGGTGATGGTTTCGGAGGAGCCATGTAGAAGAGGAGCGGCTTAGGTCGTGGGCGGTAGCTGTTCTTTGCGCAGAGTCATTCATACTCATACGGACACACTTAAGTTCGTGCGTATGTGCCGTAAATTGTCGTACCATCGTCTCAGGACATATGTCTTCGCCCGTGTTCTGCCAGTCCCGTCCGACATCCTCACCGTCACGTTGCCGCGGCCGTTGGGTGTCGTACTGGAGTACGAGGAACGGTTTCGGAGGGCGACTGTCGTAGACCTGATTGAGGGCACCTACGCCGACCAAAGGCGGAAGGTAAGTTAGTTAATTCGTGTGCGTGTCATTATAATTTGTACGGCGTGGTGTTTGAGTTGTACGGAATTTTTACATGCCAGAGGAGAGATTCATGAACGGGAAGGGCAGACAAGTGTGGATGAATTTCGGATGATGCAAGCAGGCAGGGGTGTTGTGTGACGGATCACAATTACCGCATTGGCTCTGTGTGTGTGGAAGGCTGTGGTTGCCGTACAAGACGTTTTTGTTTTTGTTGTTGTTGGTAGTGGTGGTGGTGTTCAGGGGGGTTCTGTCGGTGCGCGCATAGCCTTGCAAAGGTAGATGGGTGTGGGTTGGGGATGCGGGAAGGATGGATGGATAGATGTGGAACGATGCCCGCCTAGTGTTTTATCGAAATCCACATACAGATCGTGATCTGGTATAATAGATAGGGACGGTCCCCACGGACCATATTTAGGGCACTAGTTATGTATTTATACGAAAAAACGTTTTTTGCTTGGGCGAAAACATCGTTTGAAAACCTGGCGTAAAGCCCGGCGGGCACCCCGTCACGAGTATCAAGTCCTAGACGCACGTGAAAGGAAGCCCGGAAGACTTTTGCCCGTGTGATCTGAGAGGTCCAAAATTGTCCTGGCCAGCTAACGACCGGGGTACGACAACTGAAATGCCTGATGTCCGTGTTCTTTTCTTTGCCTGTGGGGGCCTGTGAGCTGCTGCTGGTGGGCGGTGGATGGCCTGCTTATTTCCATTTTCGACGCTCCAACGGTTCATTCCGATGCGGGTTTGTCTATAAGCGGTTTGGAATGCGATTTTTTACTCCGGAATTTTTTACTCCTGATTTTTTTACTCCTGATTTTTTTACTCCTGATTTTTTACTCCTATCTGAATGCAGAAAGCCGCGCTCAATTCCGATCTCGTCAAGGATGCCGTACTTCCCGGGGACGTACTGCGCGCCGTGACGGCGACCAACTTTGTGTACCCCACCCGGGCGCTGTTCGGGGCAGCTCCGCCGGAACGGCACATTGTGAGTTCGAAATCGTGGATTCATTCCTAGATTTGAATCTTGGATTTGGATATGGTAGGGGTAGTCGATTTGGGCAGTTTCCGAGAGCAAGGGTTTCTCCCCTGGAGTCACTGTTCGCTTTCCGCGCGAGTTTGTACACCGTACACCGTGGAAGGGGGCAAAGGAAAAAAGTGTCTATCAAGATTAAGTGGAGGGGGAGGGTTAGGATGTGACCGGGAAGCTGCCAGAAAGGGATGAAGGGGAAGGGGAGAAAAATAGAAATATTCCGCCTCGGTGTGTACGTCGCATCATGCCGTACATTGTACGGTAAGCGGAATTCCTGACGAACTCCAGTGCCCGCGGGTGCGGCGCCCAGTGTACGGCACCAGTATGGCCTATCCGCCACCATCACCGCTGCCGTTACGACACAGCGCTGTTGCCTGCTGGTCACTCGCCACACCAGCATGGAGCGCCATTACCTTTCTACATTCTCCGTTATCCCCCATACGACAGCATTATTGTCTCCGATTGTTTTTAATTACTCAGGTTGTGTACGGCGCTGACAAGCAGAGCTGGTCGTCCATCTGTGGCGCACTGAAGCGGGGCGAGGCCAGGGATGGTGACGTCACTCTGGTTCTGGAGCGCCGCCGACCCCGACCCCCGAAGGAGCCTAGAGACGGTTCGGCGCTGGACATATTCGCATGAGAGGGGTGAGGGTGAGGATTAGTGTGAGGATTAGTGCGAGGGTGAGCGTTGGTTGCTTGCTGCTGGGATGTTTAGTTGCGCTGTGATGCGTGATGTGTGTATGTATGCATGTATGTATGTATGTATGAATGCTCAAATCAGGGAACAAATGGAGGGCGTAGGATGGGTGGGACAATACCGCGAGCATGCCGTCGACTGGTCGTATGCCGGGGGCCAGGCGGCGGGAGGGCTCCTGCTGGCTGTAGCGCTGACTTTGGCGCCCACCTAGGTCCGCGAAGTCTTCAAGTGAAACATGGAGAACAATGTGGAGCTGAGGGGGCAGCCTTCTTTGACCCCTTGAACAGAGTCCAAAGGTTCCCCCAGCCTACCGTTTTTGCTTTCATGCGCGCACCTGCTCTCGTGTAACAGGCCTTCAGAGCCTTCAAGCATTGCGTCATGCATGCCGCGCTCCTTTCGTCTCTCTTTTAAGCCAAACTAGGCGACATGGAACCGGATCAGAAGCTTTCTGAAGATCAACCGTCAGTCGCAGAGCGGGGATGTATTTTCAGGGCCATTCGTGTGCCGGTCAGTGAGGTGCAGGAGCAAGAGCGGGTTGTGTATGGTGCCTATCTTGGGGCGGAAACCGCCCTGCAGCAGGGACCGTGCGCTGGCAGCCTCAACCCATTTGCTAAACACGGCGCTCCAAAACACGAGCATAACACTTCGCCAGGGCTACACACACCGCAAGACCACAATAGTTGCTCTTATCGTACAAATCGCTCTTTTTGTGAATTGGCGTCAAGCAAGACATTCCAAACTGGCTGGCGTAGTCCTCCATACTACGGATGTGTTCGAAGGCCAATGAATGAAGGGGGCAAGATCATTAATGGAGTGCCTGTTCATCTCTCTCCTGGCATACTTATATAGCATTCCGCAGGCACGCGATCGAGCCCATCAGATTTGTTGTTGCGGAGAGACTTGATCGCAGATACCACCTCCCCCAGGTTGATTGGTTAGTTCAGCTCCGCAGCTGGATCCACACGTTGCCCCCGCACACCCGTAGTAACGTCCCAACCCCGACCATCACCTCTAGGCATGCCATTAATGTAGCTCATGATCGCGTCTGCGTCCTCATCCCTAGAAACAGTCGCGCCATCGTTAAACAAGTCTGTGAAGTACCCCCTCCAACTGTCAACATCCACCACGGGACACTCCTCCTGAATGGACGAGTTAATTAACTGCCCCAATCCCTTGAATTACTATTGCAGAGACGCAAGAGATCCTTGAAATGCTTCACCCGATAGGCTCCTCGCGCTTCCCTGAGCAACCGCTGATATTTCGTACGCAAACGACTAAACTCTGATTTTGCCGTATGGCCGCTGAGTAAACCTTCAGCCGCATCCGTGCTTTTGCGATTATGTGATTATGATCTTGCTGGTTGACTACGTTGACGACCGTTTTAGCTCGTACAAATGTGATAACCACCGCTGTACATTTTGTCAAGTCGTTTGACCCGTATCGGAGGACCTACGTCTTAACCCGCTTTGTATGTTATATGGACTTGTGACTTTCTCATCGACTTGCGTTGTGGCTGGCTGAGAATTGGACTTACGGAATTGTCACCCGCCGCCTGTTCGGTGGACTTGTTTTTATAATTTGGTCGGTTGCGGATTGAATAATTAAAATGTCGGGACCTGGCGAGATGTTGACCAAGCGCGAATTTCTCGAAATGACCGGCCTCATCCTCAAGGAAATCCTCAATCCTCAAATGCTGCGGTCTGCCTTAGAAACGGCGGCAGTCAAGCTGAATATTCCCGATTCTAACGCCCTTGTGGCCGCGATGCTTGCGGTAGACAATGGTGCCTCTGGGCGCGGCAGGGAGACAACGGACAAGAAGGAGAAGACAAAAAGGAGCTTGACTCCTTACAACATGTACGTCTCCTATTTTTCTGACTTCGCCGCCCACTACGGCCGCCACCCTACCATCGCGAAAGTTAAGGCCGAGAACCCCACAGTGAAGTTGGGCATGGGGTTTTGCTCCGAGTTTTACAAGACTCTTTCACAAGAGCAAAAGGTGCGGAAGCTACTGACGGACCACCGTGCTTTTCCCCTGTACGTTATCGCAGCTTCCCTAACCCGCTGGATCCAAACCCCCGGCTTCGCGCTTAGCGCGTGATTCAACGCCCGTCTCTTTTCCCCACAGGACTGTGTCATGGATACGTTTAAAACCTTCCTAGCGGAACACGGCGCCAAAGGCGAGGCTGACGCTGCTGGTTCTATCCTGAGCGCTTTCAAGAAGTACGAGGCGATCCATCCAGCGGCCAATATTGCCAAAATTATGGGGCTTGAGGCGCGCGACGATTACAAGACGGACCCAGCCCAGATGCGACTCGAAGGTGCGCCCCTGTCCATTAACCTGAAAGCCAGGTAACGGCGGCGGTTTTGGGATACTACTGCGATTGACGAAGCTGGCAAATCGAAACGGCACGATGCTTCTTCTCGGGGCTTCCTCGCCCACAGCGCCTGTTCCTATCTTTACAAATTTCACCCTATTTACTTACAATTTTCACCCTATGCATTTTGCCCTAAGTCCACCTTCCCACAGCCACCATATCATACAACCACCATATCATAAAACTCCGATGCTGCATCGTGCTGTCACCAGCCGCATACACATGCAACCACACCAACACTTTCCTTTTCCCGTCTAAAGTACGTTAAGGCAAATGCCTCTGCTCTGGGTTTACCCTTGCCCTTGTGTGCCAGCTTCTGTAATGAGCCCATGTAGGGGCAGCATACGACAGTGTGTTGCTTTGCCGTTATTGCCTTGTTTGAAATGTGTCGTATCGTGTTGGAATGTGGATGGACCCGACCTTAAAAGATGAATTTCTTTGCTAAACTCGCTGCAATCCAAACCCCAATCCCAACCCCAGCGGCGGAGGCACGTCGTCTCGCGGACGGGGGAGGGGCTGGTGCACCCACGCCCACCCCCTTTGGAACCGTCACTAAGCTGGATTTCGGCAACGGCCACCACCGCAGCGAACTGGTGAGCAAGGGCAGGGAAGCGAAAAACAAGAGGGGAAGAGCGAAGGGGAAAGAGCGGATGAGGCAAAGTTGTGGCAAAGACGGGCGTTGAAAATAGGTGTAAGGAGGTAGTTACAGCGACGGATCAAGTTGGCATGGGGAATGGATCACGCGAACCAGCACCGCGAAAGGGCCCCTATCCTTTCACGCGTAAATCAAAACCTCTAATAGCTCAGATATTACATCAGCACATCGTTCTTGCATTCAAATCCTTTCCATTCGCAAACATCGAGTTGGTAACTCCATCCATCCATCTATCCATAATTGCACTTTCATAGGCACATCAATGAAACCTGGGCAAAAGAGGTGATGTGGAGGTTCAACCGTGCGCTGCCGCCGTCATTGCAGTCTTAGATATCAGTGGCATTTCAATAAACGACACTAGGCGTCCTTACACGCGGCTTCGAACCCCAGGACTTCGCCATTCGTGTAGCATTACTGTGACGTCCCCAGTGTGCACTCTGACCAGTGCCCTCGCCACCAAGCACATGTGTGCACTCTTGACTGCCCCTCGGCAGGAAGCTGGACCCACGCCGGGTGCCGAATTGAAATCGGAGGTCAAGGAGAGGAACAAGGACAAAAGCGAGAAGAAGGCCAAGCGGAAGGCGGAGCAGCTGGATGCGGCCGCGGCTCCCGACGGTGGTGCTGTTGGGCTACAGCTGGATGGGACAACCGTTTCGAAGAAGCAAAAGTTGGACGAAGAGGGCACGGAGGTGGGGAGGAGGGTTTAAGCAGGGTGCTGTTGTTGATCCGGGTTGTTGGGGTTGGCGGCGAAAGGGAGATTTGTCAAAGCAAGGTAGGGCACGCGGCTCATCAGTGTATGACCGCGTTGCTTTTGTAGAAGCTGTGATTGGCGGTATAACAGGAAGATATCCTGGGCGGAAGAGGGGTCGTTACTCCCATCGAGAAAGTGGGATGAAAGGAAGGTTGAGCCGCTCGTGTCAAGTGGCGTAGTTCAGCATCAAAATGTTATGCTGAAGCCCACATGGCTGCCCGTCCAGGCACGTTTACGCTTGCGCCACCACCGCTACCGTCACCACCACGTAGGCGCTTTTTTTTCTCTTTTCCATCACCTTAACAAGCCACTGGCGCTTCTGGCGCTGTTACATCGCCCGCACAGGCTAAGTCCAAGAAGGAGAAGAAGGACAAGGGGGAGAAGAAGGACAAGGCGGTGAGGACTGGGGCCCAGGGCGGGTGCAGATGGGGTTGAGGACTAAGGCCTAGGAGCGGGCGGGGCGCGTCCGGATTGGGTAGTGATGGAGGTTTGAAGAACCCGTGACCTGGTTTGGGGCGGCTAACAAGGCAATATGGGCTTAGAGTCGGACTTTGGGGTCCTCTCTGCTTCTTGTACTGTGAAATGGGGTTGGCTTGCTGATTGACGAAGTCGCGTGTGCAAGGTCTGTCAATACTTGCGTGCGGTATGCTGCGGCTTTGCGTTTTCCGGGAATGATGGGGTTTTGAATTCATGTATGAGCTTAATGCATCAACCCCAATGTTTCGCGCCGCCTGGTGATGTGTTGTTTCAGGAGACAGCTCCAGCTACGACCGGGAAGGACAGCGTTAAGAGCGAAAAGAAAAAGAAGGATAAGGGTGACAAGAGCGAGCAGAAGCACAAGGACAAGGGCAAGGAGGAGAAGCACAAGGAGAAGAAGAGCGAGAAGAAGCACAAGGATAAGCACGTGCAGCAGGTGTTGCCTCTGTAGGTTTGTGGAGGAAGCGAGCGGGATGGCGGTGACTGCAGCGTCCGCAGCGGAAGAGCAGCAATAGTATCAGCTGCAGCCGGGGTTGGGGAGTGTGTGCGGGGTAGAACCGTCAATGATGATGTGCATCGGCTGCAACTCCCAAAGGGGGGAACCGGGGGGAGGGGCGCAGCTTCCAGCGCAGTGGGGGTCAGTCAGGAGCACAGTGGAGGATTTTCCCGCCCCGTCAGTGTCGAGGGGCAGGTCGGAATGGCTGGCGTGGGATGGCGACGTTTTTGCTGACCATATGGATGCTAGGAGCCGGCGGGAGAGGGGGAGCGTCCACCTTGAGACGGATTCACGCACTGACGGTTAGGACGTTGGGCTGGTATGACACGTTGGACGCCGGCATTTTAACGGTCGTGATCATTTAGGTGGTTGTCTACAAACGCTGACCAGACGATGCGATGTGTGCCAGAGCGGTTGGGTGGCGTTAAGGACAATGACATCCGACACCATCTGTGCATCACATCACGTCACGACACGGACGTAGACAGCGGGCTCAGCTTCTAAGCAAAGCTAAGGGTTGAGTTTGCGCTTGGGATCGGGACCTAACCCCGGCGGTGACCTGTCTCTTCTCTTTCGTTTTTTTCCTTTCTGGCAGGTTGCGCGATAGTTGCTGGTTGACAGCTAACCTGGGGGACTTTTATGACTCTACAAACCGAAACTCACTTGATGACGTATACAGACGTTTGCGCTCCTCTTATCTTCTTGATGACATGCACATTCTGTGTTTGGGGACACCTGCCACACCAAGAAACACCACCAAGCAAGGGCGGGTGGATAGAATCGAGCTGTGGATCCATCATTGTATTTTGGTTTCGTGGCTACATCTTGGACCTCTTTGTTTTGACGTTTTTATGTCACAAGAAAGCTTTTCCATTCTCCTTTTACATTCTTCAGGGCGATGGTCGGTGCTGCCAGAGAGAGGAGGTGGTTTGATGGGTGCATGTTGCTCTGGTGGGGGTCACACACTCGCACCTTGTCTGTAAATCCACCTAACATCCACCTAAAAGGGGGGGTACGGAATCTGATCCGATTACAAGTGGCTTTTCCTCGACAATCAGGAGCAAGTCTGAACCATGACAATTGACAACTGTGTACACGTTGTCCCAGCGCCGTTCGTCTACGTCATATCATGTCAGCACAGAACATAAATACACCCTTATCGACCTCATATGGTTTGCTGTGCTGCCCCAGCAATGAAGAGAAGCTGGACGTCCAGGTCTGCAAACAGGCTCGCACCTTCAAAGACGATGTGGCCAGTGGCATGGCGAGCACTGATGAGAACACCTACTATAGTACCTGATATATTACAAAAACCTAACATTTACCTGCAGGATCTTTTCCCAACAACTGGCTAACTTGTTAAGGCGTGACACAACCTACCCCGTGCAACGACTATTACGAAAAGGACTCAACAGCACGGCATGGCAGCCATGCCAAACCCCGAGCCAAAGCCGAACCTGAGCCTCTGCCCACCAGCACGTAGCCCATGGGCTGGCCAGTCCCACACTGAAGGCCAGACATACCCCGAGCACGGAGACTGCTATAGCCCATTTACTGCTCGTGCGAACCATGCTGAGGCCCAGTAGCGCCTTGCTGCAGGCAGCTGGCAACCACTGACAGCCAGCCCTCGCCCATACACATGCTTCATCCCGGCAGCACTTTCTGCAACAGCTCTGTGCTGACATAACCAACTGGCCATCATACAACAAACATCGGTGGTATACTGCAGTCGAGCAGTGCCATGCTGCAGCCGGCCAGTACTGCTGCAACCAAGCTCTGGTCCCACACTGCTGGCACTACACTGCAGCAGGCCTTTGCTGCCAAAGCAACCCAGTGCTGTCACCGCCAGCTATGCAGCCAGTCGGCGCTGGTACCAGCAGCCAGCCCTTGTGTCCAACACAACAGGCTCTAAACTGCAGTGGGCCATTGCCGCTTTTGTTAGCCAGGCCTGCCACGCCGCCAGCACTATCAGCGCGTTCAACAGTGCCAGCCGGCGCTGCCACCTCCAGCCAGCCCTCATGCATCGCAGACGCTATACTGCAGCCAAGCAGCACCTTGACGTAGCCAGCCGGCGCTGCCACCTCCAGGTAGCCCACTGCCTTGCATCGTCAGCACTATCTTGCGGCCCAGCAGCCCCAGTGTTTGCCACCGCCAGCCCCCCACTTGTTCTGCAAACCTGGGTATCAGCTGCTGGAGGGGCCGGTTATTGTGTCAGCATGGCGGTCCTGCAGCGCTCGCCTGCAACACTAGCTGCATCCGCAATGCCGTGTTTTCCTGGGGAAGCAAGCAGTGATGAAGGTACCAAATGCTCCCTACTCCCTGCTCTGGTCCCACACTGCTGCCCCCTACTCGTTCTCCAAACCAGCACTATGCTGCAGTCCATTCGACCGGTGCTTGTCGCAGCTTTGCGGTTTTACAGTGCACACATGCAGCGCCTGTCGCACCTGCATTAGTGCCACCGCCGCCGCGGCCAGCTTTGCGGTCTCCACCGCTAAGTTAGCGATTTCCTGCAGAGGCTCAGCTGAGGAGGCAAGCACATGATGAAGGCACCCAAACTGTAGCAGCCGGTACACAGTACGGTGCTATAAATACGCGCAGAGCGCGACCGCCAGCAACTCGAGAGACCTTTTCAGCGGTCAGCTGCTACATTTGGTATCGAGACCTCGTGAAAATTCACGATCCTGAAGTCGTCGGTTCAACCCCCACCGATCACGTTCGAGTGGTATTTCGGGTGTGGCAACTCAGTGAGCGACTATCGCACAAAACTATAAAATAAAAGTAGCTGAACCGACTGGACTGTCTCTGTGCCTGAAAAACCTGAAGGCTAGGCGCATGTGAAGCGGGCACATGACGTGACGTGGGCTTGGTCACCCCACTGCCCGAGGGTAGGAGAAGGTAGGCACAGGCTGGCGGTATACGAGGCTCTAAGGGCCCGGGACGGTTCCCTTCAAAGGGGGGGGAATGTAGCAGCCGGTACACAGTACGGTGCTATAAATACGCGCAGAGCGCGACCGCCAGCAACTCGAGAGACCTTTTCAGCGGTCAGCTGCTACACAAACGCTTTAAACATCACCATCCCATTTAAACCTTGACACAAGGCAGGTGACTTCAGCAAAGTGCTGTTGAACACGGGTCACACAATCCACAGTACAACAGTACAAGACCAGCACCGACTGTTTTGATAAAGGAGGAGAACACACCACACAGCATCGGATCATGGTATGACTACTGGCGCCCCGTCTCGCACCAGTGGAGCTCAGCCTGCTATACAAAATGAAGTGAACACAGTTGCCGCTGTCTGACGTGGCATACAACTGCCTTGGCATCGAACAGCACCGCAGTCACTAAAACACAACAGCCTTGGCATTGCTTGTAGGCAACTACCACACCTTGGCATTCACCAGGGACTGCTTGACCCAGCTCTCCGTCTGCGAGTTGATCACTTCCTGGCCAGCATCTTGGCGTGTTGGCAGCTCCCGCAGGTGCAGGCCGGGGTACATGATCTGCAGTAACTGTTGCAGCACCTATGGTGGCGCAGGGAGGGGCAGCACTTATTATACACAACCAGAAATGGGCAGGCAAAACATTTTTAAGGTTGATGTTCAACTGCAATATGTGTTTGGTGGATTGCATTATGACATAAAAGCTTTGAAATGAGGATGGCATACGCGCAGATGTGAAGTAACAAGATACGAGCACTTTCATGACAGATCAGTGTAGGGATAAGGCAAGTTTGGCAAGTTTGGCAGAGGAAAAGGGAAGGTCGCACACAAGGTCCTATGGACCCCACACCACTACCCAGCGTTTCACCAGCGTCTTTCCACGGATTTGGTGCCCTGACACACACACATCCTTATGTTATCCTTATGGCTTCATCCCACACACCTTGTAGTAATTTGAGTTGTCAGTCGTCTGCATGCCAGCATGGATCTCCCCATATAGCTGTATGGAGTACACATACAAGCTTGCTTTGGCCCACATCGGGCTGGCAGCTGGGTCCTGCAGCACAACCGAAGTTGGCGCCTGTGCAGCTGCTGCTGCTGCACCCTGCTCATTTGTTTGCGGCTGTGGCCCTGCATGCTGGACCTTGGCAAAGTACCATGTCTGCATGTCCGTGAGCAGCACCCACACTGGTGCAGTAGCCAGTGGCTGCCATAAGTGCTTTGCAACATCCACAGCTGCCTTCACCTCCACGATGAGCATGGGGGTGCAACGCTTGGACACAACGCTTGCCATCAAGGTGTTGGAGCACACTTTCCGCATCGAGTCAGGGTGGGAGCAGACGAGGACAAACTCGGACATTCCTGCGGCAGCAGAAATTGTGCAATGAGACTAATGGACGTGAACAGTCATGTAGGGACAGGTGCCTCACTCCCAAGAGCAATGGCCAATGGCCTTGGGTGTATGGTCAGCTGCGTGTCTTAGAATGGTCCAGAGCATTATACGTGACTGTAACATGTGACTGTAACATGCTCCATGGGCATTGGCTTGGTAAAAAAGAAACTCACAGCTGTGCTGTCGTGCCTGAGCAATTAGCTCACAGCCTCTGTGGTGTTGTACATCATAAAGTCAATGCAGTAATTATTTGCTCCAACCAGAACCACAACACTTGACCATGAACATAAAATGATGGTGCATGAAACAACGAGGCCAGGCCACAACTTTCATCCCACAGCCTTACTGCGCCCCCTTGCATACCTTGTGGCCAACAGCCCTTCCAAGCTCTCCTCAAAGCCAGCATGCAGCAAAAGCAAAGGGGTTAACGTAGTACTTAGGCATGCATAGCAGTATGTAGGTAATAGGAGAGGCAGACAGTGGTTCTGCTGTAAAGTTGTGACTTCTCCCCTGTGACTGCAGGGCTGGCTTTCGTTTGCTAGTGTGCAGGTATTGTAACAACTTCGGACAGCGGCAGTGGCAACACCCCCTCTAGCCTCCAGATTGATGGTGTGAGCATGCCACCAGCAGGAAGGCATGCCACCAGCAGCAAGGCTGCACAGTGATGTTAGGTAATCCCGCCATGCAATAGGCTAGTTGGTGAGTGGCAAGAGAGCCTCTGCAGAGTCAGGCCTCCAGGGCATGCTAGGGCTTTGGATGCCTGCCACAGCAAGCAGACAGGCAAGTGAGGGTGCAAACAGAGCATAGCCCTGGCTGTGCCTGTGTTACTTTCCTGAGTGGCTGGCGGTTGGCCAGCACAACTGAGGTGTGCCACATATAGCACACATGCACATGATGCACATGACATGCATGCATGATAGGGTCAACCAGGTGGAGGTGTCGGCAAACCAGATGGGTGCAACGGGTCCTTCCAATATGCCCATTGCAGAAATCGCAAAAGCTACTGCTGACAGGTCCTAAGGCTGTAATCCAGCCTCTGAGCCAAGAGTGGCCCAAGTACATTATCTTCTGGGAGCTGCTTAAGGACCTGCTTTCATTCCAAGCACTGGACAAGCTGTTCGGTGTCTTCGTTGGTGGTGATGATGAGGCAAGCGAAGATGCCAACATGGGCGACGAGAAAGATGACAAGGAAGATGATGTGAAAGATGGCAAGCATGGTATGTGGGTTGCACAGGAGTCGGCAGACTACAACGGGTCCCTGCACTGTTCATCAGTCCAGACCTGCCTTGAAATCCCCAACCCTACAGGTCGGGGATCCTCTAGAGT